TGCCGAACTGTGCGCCTGCGTCCGACTACGCGCTGTTCCACTCCAGGTCTGTTCCACGTCCGCTCCAGATCTGGCTGCTCCGCGGGTACTCTCGTCCCTCGCCCCCTCCCCGCCCCCCTCACTTCACTAATCCTATTTACCGGAGCCGGCCGGTGGGAGCGATAAAGCCATGCCGGCGGAAAATGCGCCTCCGGCACCGACCGCCGCCGCCGACCTCCGAGACCGGGCCGTGAGGAGCGGCATCGAGCCAGCCGGACCCAGGGGCGCCAGATCAGCAGGGCGTTTCGTGCTCCGGTATCCCGCGGGTGCCCTTCCAGCTCCCTTACGATTATTTGTTGGCTGCTAGTGACTATTTGTTGATCCTCTTGAAGCATTTTTGCAATTTGTGTAATGCCCATATTTCTGTATGGCTCGTTCACCCCTGCGTTCGCCCCACCCATCCTCTCTCCTTCCGCCATCATCATCGCACTCTTCGTATCCGTCGCCGCCGCGGGCGCGGATTGCAGAAAGCGCCCCGGGCCATCTGCTCGCCGCTGCGTTCGTATTCATGAGCCGGGTTCGCTGCCGTGGAAGCGGATTAACCAAGGCGATTACCCGGGCTGTTTGCCAGCCTGGGTGGCGGGACGGGTACAGTCTGCAGCCGAGTGGTGCACAAAGCCCGCCGGCGTCGCCCGCGCACGCCTTTCTTCCGGGCCACCTCCCTTAGTCCGAGACGCGTGCCGGGGGAAGAACGCGTGCCGCCCGCCAGTGCTGCCATCTCTGGACGGACGGCGGAGTCACGCCGGACAATCGGGCGGGCGGACGGCGACGGCCGCGGTGGCGCCTAACGAGCAACTAATTAGTGACGTGGCAAAAAAGGCCCGCATGAAAGACGCGGCGGACGTGCGTGTCGGTTTTTAATCGGCTCGCGCCCGGCTCGCGGACGCAGTGCGCTCGATAGCGAACACGCCAGGGTGACATCAAAGCGACGGGCCGGCCCGGCCCGGCCCCGGCGGTGCACACGGGTCACCGGGTACACAGAGCTCCGCTGCTAGCTTGGTGGCGTGGCAGAGACCTTGGGCCGGCCACAGTCTGGCCCTGGCATCCAGCCTCCGGCTCTGGAGCAGTCTTGTGCAGTGAGACCGGGCTCGCTGCCAAAATGGCTGAGGGAAGGTGGTGACCGCCGACCGCTTGACACTGGGCTGGAACGGAAGACCAATGCCGACCTAGATCACCGCACCGGAATAGGAACACGGTCCACATCAGCCTGCGGCGGAAAGGGGCGACGTGCTCCCGAAACGTAAGGCACGCTTTCGGGGCGAAGGGGAGAGGTCGGAGGTGAAAGGCGAAGCAGGACGGTTTGTGGCGTAGAGGGAGACCATAGGGGCGAGGTCGGCTCCAATAAAATTTTGGCTTTTTGGACCACGTTCTTCATCGCATCCATATGCGCTAAATGCTGCAATCTGAAATTTATATGGGGCCCGGGTCCCCGAAAGAGCACAGAGTGCCGAAGTCGGTGTGCCAGCGACATCACTGGCGGTGGACGTCCGCTCCGGCCGAGAAAACTGCGCCACCTGCATGCCAAAGAAACTTGACCGCAAAAACTAGCTCGATGCCTCACAAGGCTGTTCCATCAGTGCTGTAACCTTTCATTCTGGTCGACACGACCGGCCAAGGGTGCTCTCAGCACGTGGCGTGCAATTCCAATACCTTCAATTGTGCATTTCGGTCGCGGGATGCATCCTAATGCCCTCACCCGTTATGATATTATTAGAGGGAGCCGGCTAAACTAATGTACATGTCAAAGAAATGCTAATCGCAGAAAGTGCAGCGAGAAGTAAGTATAGTCAAGTATTCAAAGTACGCTGCATGGATGAGGGAAGAAAGAAGTTGCCACTCTATAGTTACAGGAGCCAAGGGAAGGCTTCGCTAAAAGGTAAGTCTGTGATTTGGAGTGCAAATAAGGACAGGAGAGAGAGGACAAGCAAAGCCGGCGAGATACGGTTATGGTGGTTAGGTACTTACTCGGGTTGAGGGATTGAGGTAGCGCGTCCATCTTTCGCTGTCAGTAGCTCAAATAGGCCGTGTCCCGTTTTTGTGCGACCTTCCGTTTGGCGGGCCGTTTTTGGTCGCGTGGCGGCGTTACGACACGGGTCAGTCAGAGGTCAGCAGGTCGCGCGGGGCTCCTCACGTGTGAAGCAGCTCCCTCTGTCTTGAAGACGCACGCACAGATGTGGCGATTCTTCTCACGAGTGTGTCTGCTGAAAGGTGACCTTCGCACGTGGTCCCGTGGGTAATAGGGTACGTGGTAATGAGGGGTAATGGGTTCGAGGTATGAAACCCCGCCATCTTGCGTTGCCAGACGCATGCCGGATGTTTTCAACCAACATGAAGCGTCCGCTGGTGACGCATGCTCCCCGGCGGTGGCATACTCCCCTTAACTTTCCACGAGAGCGAAAAGTATGTTGCGTGCAGTTAACAATTAATGTCATTAATTAATGACATGCAGTTGATTTTATGAACTGCATGTTATTGATAACAATTTAAACACATGAAACAGACCAATCATTGGCATGCAGGTGATCATGTGTTCGTGTCCCAATGTGTACGGTCATGCCAGATTCCCTCCGCATGTCAAAAAAGGTTTAGAAGCAGGCTTAGAGCGTCCACTATACTCTCGATTTCCCCGCGTTTCGATCCGTTTGTTGGCACGACCCGAACTTGTTCCGCTCTGGAACACCGGGACCTGTAGCAATTACCCCTCTCGGCGCAACAATGGACGCCCCTGAGATTAGCGGCCCGGGCCGCAGCTGGGGGTCCTTCACTGACACGGCCGTGACGAGGGGCACCTCCTCGCTGCCCGCGCCATGTATCGCTGTCACGTGCGGTGCGCGCCGCTGTTTTGAGGTGCAAATGCCCATTCAGCGCGCACCGATTCCGTGAAAGACGGGTCGACATGGGCTCGAGTGGCGCCTCCTGCGGCATCCAGCTGCCAGCCGCGGAAAAACCGCGGCCACCCCGCACTGAATGCAGTCCGTTTGTGAGCGTGAATGCGCCGCGCGGTACTTTGTGTCACAGGGGATCGGCTAATATCTGGCTACACCCATACAGACGCAGTGATGAGGAAGGGCGCGCGTGAATGCGGTGTGATGGTGTCGCCGCCGCGACCCGAGTGTCGCGGCAGTAGCGGCGCTCAGAGCCGCGCCGGATGTCTCCCGCGGGAGGCGGTCGGCCGCCGTCACCGAGGGCGGCGGCGGGTGGCGCGGCCGGTCCGAGGCGGCGGCGGACAATGCCGGCGCGTTTGCTCGGAGCCGCGTCGGCATCCGCCAGCTGTTGTCCTCGCGGCGTGATCCCCGTGTGTCGCCCTCAAAGCTGGAGATCAGGGCGCTGTCAAAGTTCTGGATAGATCGTTCCGCACTGCCCCAGAATATCGAAACTAGCTGTGTTTGGCTTTAATCTTGAGAACGAAACGGCTGCGACGTACTTGAAAGAGTGCTCCACGAAAGTTTCGTTTATTTTGTGATAGACACTAAGACGACGTGAGCGACACAGAACGGGCGCCGACCAGAAGCCGTTTTTCAGCACTCTGACCTCACCCGCACACCTCTGGTGACCTCGGCGGGTCCCGCTGTCAGACGATTTGACCTCAGTGGACAGAAACACGCGCAAGAGCACAGTCGACCAGCCTGCCCTCGGGCGGATTCCTGACGGCGCTGGCACCGGGTCCGCTGCGGGATCCGCGCCGCGGACCCGGCAGCGGACCCGGCAGCGGACCCGGCAGCAGACCCGGCAGCGGACCCGGCCCCGGCGGACGGGATCCCAGACCCGGGATCCTGCGGGCCGTGCGTGCAGCAGCGTCAGATGCCGGGCAGCCGCCGTGTTGCCAGGTGCCGGTGGTCCGAGCCGGCAGCTCTGAGTTCTGGGAACCGTTCACCGGCGAGCGCATGGATCGCCAACCGAGGCTCCGGAAATGACAAATCGAGTGAATTACGCCGCCTGCTGAGCTATAGATGTTCTGAAAACGTCGGTCGCTTATCGCAGCATTGGCCAATGAAGCCGCAAAGTGATATGAATATCTTCTCTGCGTCAGGGGATTTGTCCCCATCAATAGCAATCAGAGCTTGATTTGCAATAGCATTGCAGGAGGACGGCGCCTGATGCATTATTTGTGTTGCAAGCCATGTCTGCTGTGACGTCACAGGTCTGGAACACTGATTATGCCGCTTTTAGCCCGATGACACCACTATCGATTCTTGTCTGTTTCGGTCGTATATGAGCCTTTTGACTCGTTCGAAAGCCAGTCTGTCTCACTGAAAGGAAATTAAGAGCAAACGTTTTAGATTTAATAATTGGCGATCACAGGAAAGCGGCATTCGAAAAAAGATAATCTGCAATGATCATCATTTTCAGACCGTGGCTTACAGGCCTTACAGGCCTCGACAGACGCTGTCGGAATTTGATGAATACGGAATTAATGTTACTGGAGTTAAACGATGTGGAGCCCGAGAGGCTTCCGTCCGTTCAGCGATGTCGACGCCGCTTCTGCATTTGCACAGGGTCTCCGAGATAAAAATCATCATGACTGTGCGGCTTTGACAATCCATGGACGTCCAATCCAATCTCGTGTCCCCACCCCCGGGGACTAGGAATGTTTTCCCTTTGTTTTGAGGGCGGTAGCCATTTTTTGCTATTTCTTCGGGGCGCGAAATTACCGCGTTGGTCGGCGCGCCCTAAAACCCCAATTATTTCAAGTCATTTTGTCACAGTCGACGGCCAAGCATCCAGTCAAAGTTACGTTCGTAGAACCAATGCTAAATTTTCGGGAGCGGCTCACCCCTCCCCCTGCCCTCAGTCCATGCGCCCGTACCCAAGTTCTCGGTGGGATCCTGGACAGCCGTTGCCCGTGTTTGCCCGGACTTTGTCTCATCTCGGCTGGTCCTCCTCTCGACCCGTGACTGTTGCCTTCTGTTGTTTGTGCTCGGCCGGCCGACCTTGACATGACCTTGCCGCCCTGTTGTCAGGTGGAGAGATCCGAAGGCGGCGACGACGCAACGAGGACATCCCCACCTTCCAGCAGCAGGTGTACACCACCAGGAACGTCACCGCCAACACCAGGAACAACACGAAGCTGATCACGGTAGGTTTAGCGGGGCCGCTCGATGCCCTGCAGCTCCGGCCGCCGGAACTCGGTAGCGCGCTTGGCCGCGTCGCGCGAAATTGCCAAGATGAGGCCTTTGCCAAGATGAGGCCTTTGTCATTTCTCATGCTGAGAGGTGGTAAACGTGCGGCCTGCTGTGAGGTGTCCATAATCCGTACACCGTCCCGTCTCGAAACTATGCCTCGCCGCTCTAAAGAAGATAAAGCCTTTCCACGAGCACCAGCACTAAGCAAAGCACCGCTAGCAAAGCACTAGGCGGCGATGAAACGTTTACGGGGTTGATGCCCGAGTGGGAGAGTGCTGGGGGTCTTACATACGCCGGAGTAGTAAGCCATAATCCAAGAGCCAAAAGCCAAGAGCCCGTCGCACCCACAACCGGGGGACTTGCTTCCGCACCCTACGTGGTGTGAGAGCAGGCCACGGAGACCTTCGGCACGCATCGATGAGGTGTCGTAATTAGATTACGCGCGTGTCGTTTTCCCCTCTACGGCCCTGACGGCACCGGCCCGTAAGGCTGCCCGCGTGGAAAGAATGTTACGTTCATGCTGCCGCAGCGCCGAGCGGGTGCTGCAGAGCGGGTGCTGCAGAACGGGTGCAGCAGAGCGGGTGCAGCCGAGCGGGTGCAGCCGGCTGCTCCGTCCCCGTCCCCGAAGCCCGCGCACGCTCTCTGCAGAAGCCGGATCCGATGCGTTCTTCCTTACTGCCAGCCGGCTGAGACGCCATGAGAAATGCAGTGGACTCTCGGGGCCGGAGATATGACGTCTGGAGGCATAAATAGTCCCCTTCCTGAGACGACCGCCGCAATAACCTGAAAGCCAGGCTTGCCGGCGCGGACCGCCCTGATGAAAACGCCGGTCTGGCAACGGGAGACCGAGTGGGCGTGGACTGTGAACACGGCATCTGCATCGACCGACTTGCAGAACGAATGCTTACGGCCAATCGCACAAAGCGAAGCCTCAGCTTCACGCTTTTCAATCGAGCAGTGCATGCGCATGGGAGGAACCCATTTCAACTTTGCTTGTGAAATATTGAATAGTTCTCGGTCATATTCGGGCTGCAAAGGCCCATAGAAGAGCCAACATATTTTGTTGTGTGGCTTCTTCAACACAAAAAGGAACGAAGACCCTGAGGAAGCCACGTAGCGGAATGTATTGACTATTCTTTCGTTTGTTTGAACTAACTGCGAACATAGGTCTTCTGATTTAGTGTACAATAATCTTAGTAATAATTGTACGCGATAACTGTGTCACGGTGATTAAAACCTTCTCGAAGCAAGAAGCCAATGGGCCATACGGGAGAACCAAACGGACGATGGTCCCGATCCAGTCCAGGTCCGCACGTGCTCATGCCGCACACCCTAATGTGCACATGGTCGCTGATCTAGTCCGTGAGCCGGCCACCGAGCCGACGCGCCGCGCCACAGACCTCGTTCGACGCGCCGACGGCGGAGCTGTCCGCCCACCTCGGCGTCTCGCCCATCGCTCAGTCGGCGATCGACGCTCGGGCCGCCCCCGGAAGTCGGCTCCGTCGGTCACGTGGCCCGTCGCCGCGGGCGACCTCGGGCCACGCTCGGCCCCCGTCTCGCCGCTCGTCTAATCAGGCGCGAAAGAGTGGCGAACGGTGCTCCAGGGCTCGGCGGGCTTCCCCTCGGCGGCCGGCGCAGCGGCGCGAGACTATTCGCAGCGCGGACGACCGCGGCGCCCTCAGCGCGGGTAGATCGCGATTTCGCGGCTTTGTGCGGTTCGCGCAGCGTCTGGCGGCCGGTGCTGTGTCCGGGGGAAGGGGGGGGGGGGAGGGAGTAGCGGTGAGCGTCAGTAGATGATTGGATTGGGCCACCCTGATCCTTGTGCAAAGTTTGTTCGCAGCCGGCGTTGGAGAGTGGCGCGGAGGGGAGAGGGGATCAGAGCGGGGAGCACGCGGCGTACTTCCAGCGAAATGAGATGTTAGGCGTGGGAGAGTGCTGTCATGGACCAGGGCGCACCGCCGGCAGCGGGCTTAACTAACTGCTGACCGTCTGGTCGTCTGGTCGTCAGGTGGTCAGGTCACAAGGTCATCAGGTCGTCAGGTCGTCAGGTCGCCAGGTCGATACGGACGACGAGCTGCGTGTCGGCTTACCCCGTCACAACCGGCGTGGGAGATCACGATGTTAACGATAGCACCTCTTACAAGTTTATCAGCAATCAAGGATTTTCACGTTTAGGCACGCATGCCATCCTGACGGCGGCCTATGGCTCGCACGGTCGCCGCGGCTGCTGCGGCCTGTTCAGCTCGCGTCAGCGCAGTGCGGGGGCTCGTGTCGACTCGCCGCGGGCCGCTGCCGCCGCCGCCGAGCCATAACTGGCCCCCGCTGTGGTGACAGGATCGTCGCGCCGCCACCCGCCGCCCGCCGCCCGCCGCCCGCCTGATGACGAATTAAGCCGCGGCCGTCCGTTGTTTCGCAACGGCAGTTGGCGTCAGCGGCCGGTGCTGGAGCGGCGATGAATCCCCGGTTTACTGCCGGGCATTGTGTCGGAAGTTGGGCCGCTTTGTCCTCGCGGTGTGGCGGGCCGGCGCCCCGCCGCGGTGGCCGGCCGCAGGCTCGTGGCTCGCCCGGGCCCGCCGGCGCCGGCCGAGGTGCGCCGCTGGTCGGCCGGCTCAGGTGCAGCCGAGCCAGGTAGCCCGGTGGTGTTGCCGTGCTCGAATGGGCATTTCCGGAGTTGGTTATTTGTTCGCGGTATAGCGCGCGGCAAAAGCCGGTGATGGAAATAGAGATGGGCTTTGCGGGAGTTTCTGTGGTCGCGTTCGGTCTCGTCAAACATTGGGGTGGACGTACCTGTGGTTGAGTTGCCTTTGGAATATTTCTCACGCGCTCGAAATTGGAACGAATGCCGCTGTCCGGCTACGATGACGGCGGCTGTCCTCTCCTCTGTCACGTCTGGTTATTTTTTAGTGAAAAGATTGACTGTGGTCGCAAAATGACCACAGTAGTCGGCGCGCCCTAAAACTCAAATCAACAAAAAGTTAATTGAATCTGATACGCGCAAATGGCGCCTCGACAATCAGCCCAAACCACACCCTGGCAGCAGTTTCAGCTACCATCGGCTTCTCACCGTGCGCGAGCGAACAGCGACAGGGGCGGCAGCGGTGTTGGCGGCAGGGGTTTCGGCCAGTTTACCCCGTCACCGCGGAGGTGACCGCAAAGGCCGGATCGCAAGCGATGCGTCGTTTATGCCGAACAACGGCGGTGTGAGGAGCAGACGCCCGCTTCGAAAAGACGCTGGTGCCGGAGCGTTTCCTGCTCGGTCTGCTTTGCATTCTGTGGCGCACACGCTATTTTGTGGTTAAGTGGGAGGCGGAATCGGGCTTTGTGCCGGGTCGGGACTTTATAGCGCGTGTCCGAACGCTGCCAGTGAAATTTTGAGGTGTTGGAACTGGCCGCCGGTTTCCCTGGAACACACCGGCATGGGCGTCCTCGGGAAGTTATAAATGAGGCGTGTTTTTCTCCCGACGCAAACTTGGGCTAAAACTGGCGCTGCTGATTTATTAGTCAGGTTGTCATCAAGGGCACATGGTTTTCTCAAGATAAGAAATCGTTAACGCTTGTAACAGCGCCGCCATTATAATACAGACGTCGTTTAGCTCCGGTCTGTTCCTGTTCGATCAATCCAAGTCCTGTTTAGAGATCATCCTCATTTATTTTGCATTTTCTTTGGGTCAGATTATTACTCACTTGAATGGGCGCAATGATGATGGATGGTCCGTCAAATCGATGGCAGCTATGGGGCTCGTTCGTGTCGCACGCAGGTGTCGAGTGGCGGCTATTTCGGGCGCTAAACAGGACCCGAGGCGGTGCGGCCAGCCGTCTCGCGTCGGCAAGTGTGCCCGGGAGCCCGACCCCACCCCTCCCCCACTCTCCAGTCGGGCGTATTTTGTCCGGCCGCCTGCCCGCCTCCGGGGAGCCCATATCGCCGATCCAGGCCAGATACAGGTCCGCCGCGATTTACTGCGCGCTTCCGCGGCCGGAGATTCCCGGAGGTTATTGCCGTTGTCCAAGCAGCTGAGGGGGCGGCAGTTGCAGCGGCAGTTGCTACTGGCCGCGGACGCCGAAGAGCCATGTCGGGTCGTTGCTGCGGCGCAGAATCTGTGTCATCAGCGGAGGATGCCGCGGCAGCCAGCGGGATCCAATCAGCTCATTCCCCCCGAAGATACGACGAAAGTCGCTGGGTTCGAAACACATGGCATGTTGTTGGTGGTCGAAGCATTTGATGTGAGTCAAATCTGAAAGTGACGACCAGGGGTATGGTTTCCCATTCAGCTGGGGGAATGGGGGGGGGGGGGGCTGACCCTCCCCGTACCCAACGTAGGCTCCAGCCCCTCCCCAAATTCGCGACGAAAGTGGTCGAAATCCGGAGAGAATCCCATTTGTTGGGATTTGGGAGGGGGGGGGGGGAGAGGTATGTCGCGTCATGGCTCACTGCTCTGCACTAGCCCTCCCCCAACTAATTTTTCGTAACTATGCCCCGGCTCACAACTCTGAAAAAGCTCCTGCCTCCTCTGTTATGGATGTGCGCCGTGTGCTGTCACACGTGTGTTGTTGAAAGTGTGTGTCGTTGAAATATCAACAAATATCGTGTGTTGTTGAAAGGGTGCGCTGGACAATTGCCGACTGTTTTTATGCCTTAGCGGTAGGTAGCGGCGCGGCGACAATTGGTCCTTGCTGCCAACACCGCCGCTGTTGTCCGGTTAAGAACTGTGACGTCCTTCAGAATGAGACCCCACCGACTGCTTTGCACGCAAAACATGTTTCTAAGTGTCCAGCAAAACGAATGCGAGACGTTTTCAGCGGTTGTGGGAAAAACAGTCGCGAAAAAAGCCGTGCATTACTGCGTGGTGCGCAGGGACGTCTGTTTTTGCCTATTGCTCTACCCTAATGCTAAGGTTAGTTCAATGGGCGAAATCGACTGGATTTACCAATAACATGTAACATCCACCGTCCACCG